TGATATTTTGAACGAATAGCATCTTAAAGAAATTTTTGGCATTTCATTAAAAAATTTGGAAATTTATGTTATAACTAAGTAGTTTTTAACATACTTTGGTGATTTATGATATTTAAAAATTATTTTGTATTTTATTTATTGTTTTAACTCCTTATTAGTCTTGATGTGTCTTACTAAGTACATATTTTCTATACAAGCACGTATTATTATATAATAATAATAAAACTAAAATACGTATTACACGTATTATTTTGAGTTTAAATTTTGAATCAAGCTTACATTTTAATAAAACTAAAATATTGAGTTATTTGATAATGTTTTTGTTTTGGTGTGAATATGAATGAATTTGCAAGTTGTTTTGAGACTCTAGCTTCGGTTATGATTTGACGCTACCAACGAGGGTAAGCCTGAAATTTGTGAGGAGCATGTTTATTTTGAACCTATACCATAAGAGTTAATTATGGTTTTTAGCTTTGATATAGAGATATATGTATTATCTACATTCTAAGGGTCAAAAAGCATTAAAGAGAAGCATAAAGAAGATATTACAATGTCAGTTAGTCCAATCACAAGATTTCAAGACAAGAAACTAAAACATACATTTCAAAACTTTGTATAAAAGATAGATACAATAAGAACTTAGCAAATGTGAACTATTTGAAGAATCAAAGAAGTCAAAGAAGATCATTAATTTCGTTCAAGTATGTGGGCAAAATTTAAAGTGAATGTGTATGATCATTTTTGGTCATTTCTTAAATAATTAAATTATATTCATGTTTTTCTAGGTCATTTAATATTATTTTTTTCTAAGTCATTTAATACTATGTTCCATTAAGTCATTTAATAGTATATTCTCCTATGTCATTTAATATCATGTTTCCCTAAGTCATTTAAATTATGTTCATGTTTTTTTTTTGTCATCTAATTATGATCATTTGGTAGAATCTAGAGGTGTTTTAGGCTATAAATATCTTTTTTACAATGTCATATGACACACTTCAATTACTTAATGAATTTCATTATCTTTAATAGAATTTTGACAAGTGAGAATTCCTATTCATCTTGTTGCATTAATAATTGAATTAACTTATCAAATTATCTTGTGGTGTTTATTCATTCTAGTTTCTTTCATTCAAATCGTCTAAGTTCTTAATTACAGATTAGTTGTAGTTTGGTAGGGAGGATTTGTTTAGAGTTTTAAGTTATTTATGCTAAATATATATGTGGCGTTCTGAATATAATTTTTGAATCCCGGGTTCCGTATCATATAATTTGTTGTAAATACTAGGGACTTTGAGATTTTTATTTGAATTTTTCCTATATTTGAGTTTTGTCAAATTTCAGTGCAATAATTTTAAATATTAATTGAAATATTTTACAAATTATTTTACTTTTATATTTATTATTATATATATATAATAAATTTATTTTCTATAATCGATCAAATCAAATTGGCTTAATTCTACTAGTTTAGGGTTTGATTATTTACTGAACTGTAAATTCATCTATTTTTTTTAATAGATTTTAAAAAATTTGTTA